GGCTGCTCAACGGTCGCATCTTTCCCCGACCGTTGAGCAGCCCGCCAGTAGCCGTTGGTGTGCAGCTCACTAACGGACATAATGGGCTGGGCACTCGGCTAGCCGCAGCTAGCACCAGCTAACATTCATACCCGCTCTCGTTAAAACGTCAGCCGGCGTTCACGTCCGACTGCCGGCTGCGAACAAACGTAACCTGACATAAAAGCTAACATTAGCGTGGAGCTTTTTAGATGTGTTGATAATGCGAGCTTGATAACTAAATGCGTTAAAGATGATGAATGTTGACACTACTGCTTGACGTTCAAACTGCACGTTGGCGTCATTTCTTTTTATCTTTATTTTTTTTTATTTTTTTTACTAACGTTGAAGTGTTAGCAACCTATAATAACCATGTTTTTCTATTGCTGTCTGCTCTCTTGTGTGTTCTGACCTGGCTGAAATGTCACCTTAACCTTTACCACTGTGTGCTTTGATTGTTGATGTTAGCTACGTTTTGGGAAGTTGTCCTATTACCTATCTTTACATAGTCAGTGATAAAGTGCAGGTTTTCACTCATGTTTCTGTAGAGTTTACACATTAGCTACTTCCAGTCAGACGTGTTCTGCTTTTAAAATACTGACATTCCTCTCTGCCCAGCCCTGTTTCTACAAAAACACTGACAATAAATAAAGACACAAGTGGCTTGCAGGCACTTTAAAGTCCTGTGTATTTGAAATGTCTGGATATGTTCTGTTAGCTGAGACTCTGCTGACTAACTTTATATAAAGCTCTCCAAAACAAAGTTAGTTTGGGAGTTTTTCAGTACACCAGATAAAAGCCCTGCAGATATTAAAGTATCATTTGATGATGTGATTTTGCACACCGAATGGAAAAGGAAAGAAAACATAGTATGACCTACCAAAGGATGTCAAGCTCATAAGAGATTACTACGCTCACATGTTTTAGAAGTAGCCACAATGTGATTTTAAAAGTTGTGGCAAGTTTAAACTTTGTCTTTTCAAGTTCTGCGAATGATGAAAAAAAGCGAGCTAATTGTATCTGAGATCCTTCTTGTGCAATCACGGTCACTTGACCGTTAAAGGGAGATGTGAGAATAAAAAGAAGCCCACATGATGGTCAGCTTACTTTAATATTAGCGGACAAAATCACATGATTGTCCAAAAAGAGTCGATGGGATACTGGGTAGTCATCCCTGGAGAGGACATTTAAACATCTAATATGTAATGACAACGACACTTTGTATGAAATACTTAATTGATTCAACAGTATCAGATTTTACATTTAAAACTACTTTATTCGATAATGATCGGCCTCTAATGTCCTCAGTGGCTGAAATATAACCTTATAACTGTATTGTGTGTCAGGTGTTCGGGTTCTGTGGTATGTTTGGGTGTTTTTGGTGAACTCAAATATGAAAATTAAATAATATATATAGAATATTACTGTGCGACTGTGATACCAGTAATCTGACGATATTACATTTTCACTTGTTGCCATAATTGGGCCACAACAGTTTTATTTCCATCTTTTCTTTATGCCTTATCGGACAGGAAAAGGTTTGTCAAGATAAGTTATGATAAGGAGCTGAGTCAGAGCTTACTGACTGTGAACTGTTAACTATTAACCAAACATTACATTGTAGTGACTCTTTACTGAAACTTGCATATCTTGAAAAGACATAACATTCGAACAAAAATGATAATTTCTGTTCCGTTCCTTTTGTTTTTTATTACACTTTGTATGACAGTTTGCTACCATAAAACTTAAATAATCTACCATAAGTAATGGAGTAGCAGGCCTACAGTATGTGTCTCAAGTCTGGTTCATTGGGTCTTTTTATTATGGTTTTCCACGCTCCTCCGAGGTGTTTACCTTTACCTAGTTTACACATACTGGTCCTGCCTTCCTCTGTCCTCTAATGTTGATCCACTTGCTTTCTGTCTGCAAGTTTTCCAAAGATCAAAATGTTAAGTTGTTTAGTTCTTGTTTCATATCAAGGAAGTAAAAAAAAAACAGCATTATATCAGTTATTTTGAAAAACTCTTTAAACTGTAACATCTGTGAATGCGCTCTTATTCATAGCCAATCCCTGTTATTAATTACTCTATTCAACGACACTATATTTGTAGCCTAATCAAACATATTGTGTTAAGCTGTATCATTGTTTAGAAGTCTTTTTATATAACACAGCTTTAAAGACATAAGCTCTAAGTGAATTGCAGAGATGCTAACACTGTCAACGCAGATTGAGCTCTCAAAAAACATTTATTCCTGTCCAAGGAGTATCGTTGATAAAGTTTGATGCCGTGGCTCCGTTGGTGTCCGTACAGCGAGCTGTGAGCTGAGCAGGTGTGTTGTGTTACAGGTACAACCGTATCTGCCAGATCTGACCTAAAGACCAGAACCTCAATGGGACCTATGGACGATGAGGGGATTGTGTGTGTTTGCCTTTTTTTTTTTAAACGCACACAACAAGAGCGGATGTGACATCCACCGGGTGCAGTGTCACAGTGACTAAACCTCAGGGCATTATCCATAGCCTATTTGTGGAGGAAAATCAATTCCCTTTGTGAATAGAAGCAGTCATTGCCTTAAACTAAAATACAGATAAGCAGCCAGTCAGCGCTTCCCCATCACACTGCATACATTTCAAGCTGACTTTGCTTCTGAAAGGACTCATAAATAATGCGTCTCTTTTGAGCTGCTCTTAAAAAATGCTCATGAATAAGATGGATGTGTTTCGCCAGGCACACACAAATTTTGCAATTCATCATCAGTTTGATGAATCATCTGTACGGTCCCGTCACAGCACCTGCTCCCACCTTCAGGGCTCATTTTGCCATCGGCTGCAGTTGCATACATTAACTGTGATCACAGCTCAGAGAGCCTAAAGGACGTTTACGTTGCTCTCTTTGTTTAAGTGGGTCATTGTAAGGTATAAAAAGTCGTAATCTGCCTCCTGGGTACCTCAGTGGTACAGTCGAGTTCTCGTCAGATGGTTTATATCGAGCCAGGAACTTCTGAGCAGTATAAAATATCATTAAAGGGACACTTCACCCAT